TGAGGATTTTCTGTTCTATTCTTAAACTTTCTTCTGTATTTATTTGTTACCCTTTTCAGAACCAAGTGTTAAATGCTTCCTATGTAACTCAGTTTTGTGTGAGGCTGAATTATGCTTATTCAGGTAAGTCGACCTGAATGCAGGGGCCCTTCAGAGTACATTAACCTTCTCCACTGCCTCATGGGTATCTCTGCTTCTTATCCAAAAACCCTGGTGTTCTCTGTGGTGGCAAAGTTGGTATTTTCATTACTGGAGAGTTCTCAGATACCAAACCTACATTTTATATACACAACGTAAAACCTTTAATTTTTCTCTTTCGTATTCAGTTCATAGAGAGCTTTTTGAGCACATTTTTTAAGCTTGATATGTAGAGTGTCTTTATTCCATGCTTGGTCAGAAGTTTCTTTATCAGTTTTTATCTTCATCATATTGATGAATTTGGACAAAACCTGATTACCTCCAGCTATAGTTTTGGAAAGGGCACATAGAGATAGCAAATGGTCTTCCCGAGCACTACTGTCCTGCAGGATGCTCCTAGAAGAGGATGTTACCCTAAAGTACTGGAATTTTTTTCTTTCCCAAAGATGGGATTGGGATCACCTGGACTGGGGTTCTGCAAGTCTGTCATAACTTCTTTCCTGATTGTTACTCTGTAGCATAATGGCAGTTATGGAAACATCTCATGCTATTGAAATATATATCCACCTTTGCTGCTTTGTCTGAATATAGACTGGGTTTATATATCAAGTATCAATTAAATAGTTACTGCAGGGTTAAATCTGTGGGTATTTAATGAGAGAGATTTGTTTCTGAAGTACTGAAAAGGACAAGAGCTTTATTTTGTGTTAATATAGTTATTTAGAATTTTTTAACTCCATTTAACATGCATTTAAGGAAGGAAAACCCTTCAGTTTGTGCTAAAATGGACTCCTGTCCAGAAGAGGATGTGTAGCAGCTTTAGTCAGTTGCTTCCTGTTATGAGCTAAATGTTTATCCTGTGTGTGACCCAAACCAATGGTATTGTGAAATCCATATGTTATTGATAACTGCAGCGACATTGTTCAGAGTTGGAATTAAAACATTCTGCAGTGTTTAAGGAAACTGTAAAATGAAATCAAGATCGCAACTTTGAACTTAATCTCTGCAATTTTAGGCTTCACAGAAGGCCTGCTGTGCTGCTGTCTGTAATTCCTAATTACTGCTTTCTTCATGATTTCTTCCCTTGAGATTTAAAGATTTTGTTTCCCCAGATGCAGGGCTAATCTTGCATGTTTTCTGCAGGTTTGTGCCTTATGCCTGCCTTGCTGTACCCCACGAGGAATACCATTTCCTCTTCATCTTCCATCATATCCTTTCCTGAACTTTCAGTGTTCTCACCCATAAGTGCCCGGGGCACAGGGGGAAGCAGACAGGGATGTTTGAGCCCCGAGTCAGTGGCTGAGGTGGAGGTAAACCTGGCGCAGAGGAGCCTTTCCCACGGCAGCAGATCTGATGTTTGCCTGCAACCCGTCTGCAGCTTGGGGGATTTTAGGAGCATCTCCCCCAACAAGATGTGTAGGGTCTAGGAGGGGATGAAGAAGGGAAGGAACAAGCAACCAACATGTAAACATGCAAGTTTCATTTCATTAGGCAATGAGGCTAAAACCAAGGTTGATGACAAATAGGTGGCCTGTCTGGAGAAATATGTGTAGCCTTCTCTTGACGCGTTCCTTCAGCTCTGAAGTGTCCTTCTTCCTAGGCCTCTGAAGCTAGTGGGGTTTTTTCGCCATTCTAGCAGTATTGTAGAGAAACCTTTCTTGCCTTCCAGTATCCAGCCAAGCTTGAGAAGACTTGGTTGTTACACTGTGCCATTAAAGCAGCAGCTTTTTGCGCCCTGTTGGGTTGTATTGTCCCAAGAGCAAGCTGATACCTATGAAATAATTGCTTTGTGTCTCTTCTCCCTTTGAAAGCTTAAGCTGACAAGATTGGGATATGGTCATTTAGCGTAATTTTCATGTACGATTTGGTACGACTATTTAGTTTATTATTTCACTGTCGGGTCTTCATGCTTTCAGATAATGTCTGTTGAATTTGAGTATTTCTGCAGCCCAGTAGGACTGTTGTGTTTCAGGTTGTTAAATCTTTCTGAAGCAGGAAGCATAGACTCTTTTAGGCTGTACACATCATCATTGCTCATTTAAAAAAGTATATTTCTTAAGACTAAAAGCTCCCATCACCAACCAAAGTGAATCAAATGATGCAACTGAAGAATTCTGAGCTAGTTTTCTTGAAATTACTAGGCAGCAGGCTTTCCTTAAACCATAATTTGTACCCGGACGTGGGAAATTGCATGGGTGTCACCTGGTAAAGCAGAGTATCACTTCAAACTGTGTTACATGTGTGTGTTAGCTCTGAAAGAATGAGTCTGCCCACTTCTTACCTTCCGATCAACGTTCTTAATCAGAGGGTAGTGTTGGTCTTTATTTTCAGAGAAAGATCAATTTTAATTGTACTTCACACCTAACTAATTTTTGCAATCTTATTTTGGTCTTGTTAAAAGGGGTTAATCACTGCTGGTATCAGCACCGTCTTTCATTTCGTGGAAGCTCTTTTCTTGATGTATTTTGTCTGTGAGGACACTTTGTTTTGCTTTAAATATTAAAATAACCCTCACATGTTGCCATTTGCTCTATTACATTTTTCAAAGTAAAAATTTCAGTGAATCGCTGGTAGATCTGTTATAAACAATTTGCTGGGAAGTTTTTTTTCCTTTTAGTCAGTGTCTCAGAGAACTGTGTTATTTCTCTAGTGTACCTGCTACTGATATTGATTGTGTGCACACAGGTGGAAACAGATCCTCACTGCAGGACTACTTGGAAAGACTATTTTTCCTTTCTCTGACAACTTCTGTGGAAGGACTGTGTTTTACCATGTTGTATTTAAAATATTCCATAAATGTTAATAATGCTCTAAGAGAATTTAATATTGCTGCTGGGCAGTATGTTCCCTGTAGAACTTGTCAATGTTTCCCTTTGCAATTACAGACACTCACATCCCTGAGAAGGGTGTGAGTTGGTGACTTGTCTGGAGTGATCACCATAAGGATTTGTTTCTTAAATTTCTTCTTTGAAGTGCCTTTGACAAATTTTTAGCATCAAAATTAAGTTGAGAATTGAACAAATAAAATAACTTATCTCATGTAACTGTGCATGTCTGTCTTCATTTATCCCTCCTAAATATGTCATAATTATAGAAGCACAATTCAGTGTCCCAAAGTTGAACCTACATTTTTTTTTAAGCAGGTACAGGAAAACTGAACAATTCTCACACCTGATAAAAATTTTTTTTTGTTGGTATGTGTATGTGAACTACCAAAAGAGAAAGCCCACCAAAGATGATATTTTTTTGAATGTAAAACTAGCCGTGGTTGCTAGTGTAAGAGTCACCTCCGAAGAGGCGCCCGTTCCTGCGCGATCCTCACGCTCAGTGTATTGGGGCTCTTGCACAGACCTGAGTGGATTGATTAAGGCCCATTCTGCTGTGGTAAAGTAAAACTATTGAAAATTAACCCTATTTTGTAGGAAAGACTACAAAGGCTTACTCCTTCAGTGAACTTTTTAAAGGGAGTAAATGCTGTGCTGTCTAACCTAGTCTTTGCTTTTCGACAGCATGATTAGGTAGAGAATGTTAATTAAAATCTTAGAGCGTGCATTGGCAGCACTGAATTCAGTGCAGTTTGTTCTTTGCATTTCATGTTTGTGGCCTTGTATTGATCTTTGCAGCCTTGGTTAAGTGAAGAATATATCTCAGGGCACAGGATAATTCGAACAGAGATTTAAAAAAATAAAAAATAAAAATCAGTGCAGTCAAACTATAAATTCAAATAACATGATCATATACCTCCATTCTTCAGGCTCATTTTCACATATCTATTATTTTAAAATAAACATATAGTATACAAATGCAGAATCTCAATTTAATGATTTAGTTTTCAAAATCTGGTGTGCTGGTGTGACATCTCTGACTAGATTTTTTTCCTTTATTTTTACATTTAAAATACACTTAAAAAAAAAAAAAAACTACTTCTCAAAGCACTCAATTG